CCTACACCCATTGTAATGAATCACGTCAGCCGGCCGCGCGGAGCTGGTTATCTGCTGGTGGCTGGCAACCCACCACCCTTCAGCACAGACGCCGGATCCTATCCGACAGACGGCCGTAACGCACGCCGTGTCACCCAGGACTTATCACGGGGCTGGTGGGGACACGGAGCCGGCACCTAAAGACAGGTTACAGCATTACGCCCTGCCAGATTCTCACCTGCCTTACCGCAGCCAGGGCTATGCACCTGAGAGAGACGTGGAAACCAAACACAAAGTACCAGGGAAGGACGTGTGGATACTGTGATGAAGTGTTCATATATTTACTACTTCTTTTAAGGGACCAAAAAGGTCTTGTTTTGCTTTTTTAACTAGCAGTATGAAAATCTCGCCTTTATGTGAAACAGCCAGATACGTAATTAGAATACAATGGAAAAAACCTGCAAATATGTTATGCAGACTTTTCAATTCCTCGAGGTTTATGACAATAGTATTATTTCTGCTGGCTTACAGTTGTAAAAAACTAATCAAAACTGATGGTAATGGTGGCTAACAAAAGAGCTACTTCTTGAAAACAACCTTGAGCCCATAAAATAAAGCTTACAGAAAAAAGGGCAAGCCACTAATAAACCAAATTAATTAAGAGAGAGACTTGTAGCTGCTTGGACCTTGGGTAAATAGTTATTGAACAACTTGCAGAAAATTATGGTGTTCAGTCGTTATTAGACTGGAGGGGATTCAGTCCAACATCCTGACTCTGGTAAACTCAATGTCTCCTAATACTTAGCATGCAGAGAATCAATATTTTAGTCTCATTTTTAAAAGTCTGGGATTAGCACGCACAGAAAGAGTCTTTTTCGATGTCAACTTCAGTATCTTAAAAGAAAGTTATTACATGGCTAAATCCAAAAAAGGCACAAGCGAAACCAAGGTCACTCCTGAAAGCCACTCCTCTGAAAGGGGCAGGAATCACCCTTTGAGGTTTAGGTGCCAACTTTGGCCCTGGCAAAGCTGAGCTCAACTCTCTGATCCACACCACCTCTCCCGTGCGCAGGCAGGGAAGCAGCCAGGCTCCTCTGACACATCACTTCTCTGCGTGTTGAACGACGCCAGCAGGACTGTCATATCCCAACGTGAGGACAGCGACAAACACGGAAACAGAAGGCAGGGAAAGACCTAGGCGATCAAGTAAGACCCTTCATAATTTTACCCAAAATTGTGATGTCTTCTCAAAACCATTCCTGCCTTCCTAGTTTTTTGGGAGGACTGCTGATAAAGGAAAGCGACAGCCTCAATACTGTAGGGGTGGTACCAAAAGCAAACAGACACCAATAAACACACGGTGTGTGCTGTCGGGTGCCTGAATAACGCTACGCCTTTCTTACCTGTCACGTAGGTAAATACGTCAGAAATCACAGCAGCTTTCATAACGGCAGGGCTTTACCAAAGGCATCCAGTGATAGCTGGCGGACCAAACCCTGTTATCAACTCACTAGTGACCACAACAGTGAAAAAGCCTCAAGCTCCTCAGTCTTAATGAACAGCGAGTACCCGGCTAACAGCAGGAAACCATGCGGATATTCGCAGGTTTTGTCCCTCGCTGGTCCCTGCCCTCCTGACAGCCCGTGCCTTACATACTTGGGTATTATCTGCAGGAGGTGAAACTTAGGACAAGCAATTTACATTTAACTCCATTTCGACTTGGAAAAGGATGAAATTAACTGAAAAAAAAACCAAGGGGAGTGTCATGCAGTGATTTACAGCCTTGGTTTGGAGAGATTCTGTCAGGCTTCCAGGGGTCTGAACAAGCTATGTGAGCCCAAAGGAGGAGGGGAGACCAAACCCTGACATATAAAGCGACAGGGCTCCAAAACATTCCCCCAAATCCCGTTTTGACCATTTCACCTGCCGCGGCCGCAGGGCCGGCTCCAAGCTGGAGGTGCATTTCCACCAGCAGCCATCCCGCTCCTGTCCCGGCTGCGGTGCCGGACAGGCGAGGAGGCATTGTCCCCATGCTGACGCCTGTCACGCTGTCAGCCTTGACCTTCGGGCTGTCCTCAGCATCCGCGCGGCAGCCGGCCCGCACTTCCCCGCTGACTGCGAGCGACTGTTGTCTCGCTGCCTGACCTTACGCGAACACGATCCAAACAGACAGCCCACCTCAGCTCCATCACTGTCTGCTGCTAATACCGGCGATTGATAGCCACGCGGCATTATCTCCCTGCTCGACCTTCATTACTGGGTGGCATATTCTGACTGACAGCCAACCTCATTCTGGGGAAAGCTAAACCACCCGCCTGGCTTATTTTTTTACTGTCTAAAAGTGAAGGAACTTCCTTTTGTAAAGAAAATCAACACTTTCTCCGTTTCGACAGAAAAAGGAGCCTCTGTTAAACAGAAAAATGTCTTGTAACTTCAATCTTTCCCAGACCACCTTGCACACCAATAACGACGCAATGCAGCCAAGATGCTCCATCGGACACCGTGCTGGGTCCTGGGGCAGGCGTACTCCTACCTCTACTGATTTTACAAGGACAGTTTTTCAGCTCTGCCATGAGCTATATCTTTCCCGGGCAGAGCACCGCCAGCCCTAAGGCAACGAGCAACGTATGGCCGCAGCAGGTGGGAGGAAGGGACGTAGCTCCAGCCAACCTGGCCCCACACACGTCGCAACCGCTATTTAGGACTGCACAGGTAAATATCGGCTTTGCAAATGCACGATGCATATGGCCTAAACAGCGTTCTGAAAAGAAATCGTGACTCTTCTGCTCAGATACTCAGATTTCTGATAGCAGACACGAAAGAGACGGAGTCGCGGTTTCTCTCAGACCCCCTGTGGTCCCTTTTGGTGATGCCCTGATAACAGAGGCCAGAAACCACACTCCGTAGTCTCCGTACCGATCTCCTGCAGCTCCCGGGTGTCAGGCAGAGCCTGCCCTCGGTCAGAAAGCGCAGTGCCGCGGCCTCACAGCTCCCCTCATCCCCAGGCCACAGAGAGACGGCAGCGACCAAGAAGGAACATGAACCCTCAGCCTCCTGATGTGAAGTCAACCATCAGCTAGAGAGAGCTAAGTCACAGCGAAACACCTCCTTCCTTTCTTGGAATATTTCAGACAAACAACCTGAATAGCCCGGCGGTGGCCACGCTGCCCCTTTGGCAGTGCCCAGCAGTCTCCCGGCACGGCGCAGCAGCCACAGGCAGGCATGGGACTGGGGTCCAACACATCGCATGGGTTTTACAGCAAGACATTTTCCTGAGCCCACAACTCTCCAGCCCCACAGGGAGGGAATGGCGGGGTGTCACCGTGGCCAGTAGCATGAGATACCTCCTGCCACCGATCCCGATGAAGAGGAGGCTCCAGCTCTGGCTCTGCCGGACCCTCTGAAGATGTACCTGGGGTAGTCGTGACCAGCATCCAACCTCCTCTCCATTATGGGCCAAACGGGCTTTGAGCCAGGTCCTGTCCCCACAACAGCCTCCGGCCTATGGAAGAAGGGCGATGGGGACAGCCAGTTTCTCCTGCCCAGTCTCCACCCCTACATGCCGTCTCAGCAATCTCCCAAACGCACGCTTAAAAAACGCAAGGCCCTGACCACCAACAGGGCTTGGGTGCCCGAACACCATCCAGCTCCCAGGAGAGCGTACGACCCAAATGCCGGTGCCGTAGAGGGTCTCCCCGTGCCATGGGGACCCCAACTGCCCCGTGTGCTCAGTGCCCAAGGAGCCCGGTGCCCTCTACAACACACTCCTGTGCACTGCGCGCTTTCGCTTACCTTTTCGGCTCTGGATTCGGCTGGGATTTGGAATCTTTCCTTTTTTTGGACTCCTTTTTGGAATCCTTTTTTGTCTCCGCTTCAGCGGCAGGGGCATGAGAGACTTTGCCCCCTTCGCCTTCTGCACTTGGCTGTGACCCACCAAGTAATTCTGCCATGTGTTGGCTTTGGGGAGTGATTGAGAGGCGGGGGGCAAGGCCAGCGGCAAAAGTGAGAGAAACAAGAAAAAAGCATGAAAAAACTCGAAATCAAACAAAAGGAAACTAAACTCAGAGCAAACAACCGAAATCAAATTAACAATTGGCAAAGAAGGAACGAATGAGCAAAAGAAAGTCAGAACTAAAAAAGAAACTAAGGAAGCAAAAACTCGGTTTCCATGACAAGATGTATGAAAGTAACTGCAAAAGCAAGCGGCAGCCTTGCAACGTGAAACCTGGGCAATGTGTGTCATAATTCGGGATGGTATTTACCAGAGGGTTTATGAAAACACATAATTATTTTATAACATTCCTTCCTTCAGCAGCATATGCAGGATAGAGAGCGATACCTCAAAGCATATAATGCAACTTAACAGAAAACAAGCAGGAAAAGAAGCTGCAATAGATGCTACAGCTGTCAACAAAATACATCGAAAAGGCAAAAGCACTGCTCCAGTTCCTCCCATCAAAGGTTTGCCACATTTGAGGGAAAGGAACGGGCTACTTCTGAAATTGAAATTGCTTTGCAACAGCAGCAAGACAAAATTGTCAATTATGTCTAAGCAATTTCTGAACTGACGTCACAGGGACTTTAAGAGAGACACGGGTGCCCGAGGGCTTAAAGCCCTTCTCAACACTGAAGTTCGATGCTGCTGAAAATTTCACTGCTGCAACTTGTCAGATCATCTTGCCCAGCAATCAAATCAGCACAGTATATCGTTTACTTCTATTTCTTGAACCCGTGACAGCCACATGTACTTCAACTCTATCTTGTCCAGAACTGCATCTAGCAGGTGCCTGGGTAAGAAAGTTAAAACCCCTCATTTCTGGATCCTCTACGTGCATTTTTATTGCTTACATTAAACAAGCAACGAAACAAACAAACAAACCGACTATGCCACCAGAAGCGCTGCTGCCAAACATCCACTGTGAAAACAAATTGAGGACTGTTGTGCATTATCCAAGGAAACCTATATTTGACAAAGTCATCCCTTGTTGGCAGGGAGCTGCCAGCCGAGAAGAATTCCTTACCTGTTGCCATGAACATGTGATGCACAAAAGGCAAAGCTGTAGTGAAGTAAGGTGGGGTCAATCATAGCTCCGTTTTCTGCGCGCTCTAGCAAATCTCTGAGGTAGCAGAGATGTCTGTGACAGCCTCTCACTCCATTACGTGCACAATACTCATCTAGCACAAAGACCTGGCCAGGACTAAACCAGCCCTGTTTAGAAATAGAGAGACTTGATTTTAAATATAAGTTATTAAATACAAAGGCTATCAGATTTGGAGGTGTAGTGGTCAACTGTTCTAATAAAAGAAATACAAACCTAAGGCTACGTTAAGGAAAAAGGAGAGAGGTCACTCTTAAACAATACAGTCTGTACATCATCACCCAAACACAGCATATACCCAGTGCAACTGTTAACAGAAACACATTATGCTACCATTAAAAGGAAATGTCATTTAAAATGCTGAAAGTTAGGCCAGTTCATGTCAGTGCCTAGCAAAAAAAGAAAAAAAAGACAAAAAAAAAAAAAAGACTTACACCTTTAAGAGATGACAAAGGTTTGGTTATTTAAACAGTGTGTAGCAGTCATCTCATTTCGGGGATGGGATTGTACATTCGGCCAGGAGCAAGTAGACTGATCTGGGGGAGAGCATGGAGGATTACACTGCATAATGACTCCTCTTGCACCTGGCAGGTAGGAACGTCCTGCAGACGGAGGAAGGCAGCTCCGCAGTGTCAGAAAGGGATGTTTCCCACCATCCTTATTGCGTACCGCTGGCGACGCGCTGTGCCATCGCCCACCTCCTCCTCGGCATCGAAGCAAAGGGAAGCTCTGCTCACGAGCAGGGTTTCTTTACACATCCAGAAACCACAGATTATTTCTGCCTGTCAGTCCTGAGGGCCCGGTGACACACAGCCTGCGGTGTCACGTCCACGCTCTTGAGGAGGACGCCCTTCCCCAGGAGGGGACGGCTCCGGTGAATACCCCGGGACAGCCGAAGCGGAGCGCACCTCTGCCTTCGGGGAAAGGCACTAGCGAGAACGAGAATATTCTTGTAGATTGCTTTTCAAAATGCTGCAAAACCGTCAATATTTACATGGAAATTTGGGTGCTAAACAATTGCTAAGACGCAGCTCTGGAATGCATCAAGCTGCAAAATCTTTCATCGTTTAATTGAAAAGTTCCTGCAGCGGGCGGGAGAGTAGTTGAGGCAGAGCACTGCCCCTATAGGCAACTTCTTTGCCACCCCATCTGTTACCCCAAATGCTACATCTTAGAAACAACACTGCTGTGAAAGATTAAAATATATTTTCTACCACTCAGATGACACCAAATCTTTTCTAGATGCCAAAATAGCTGCTTTGAAAAGAGTTGAAGAAATATCAATTAAGAGCTCAAAGACATAGAGAAGGATTTGCTCATCCTTATTGGGCCAACTCCAAAACAGATTGAGAAAAGAATTAAAATAATGAGGGGAAAATGATAGATATAGGGAGTAGCTACAGTGCTGGGATCACTAGAAGTGCACATTTCAAAATGAAGACAGAGAACAATGCAGATGGGACGGCACTCTGGAAGGCTATTTTTTGGGAGGGGTATATTTGCCTTCACCGCTTTTAACGGTACTTTTGTTTGCTTTTTGGTTGGTGGCATTATGCTCGATTCTGGATTTTGTTGCGTTGCCCATTTGTTACATCCTTCGGCCATCTCTTCACCCGGCCTCTCTTCTCGCAAGTCTGTCGATCAGGCATGGTAAAAGCGCATTTGGTTACTGGGGTAGAAATGCAGCTGAAATTACATTACATGCAGTTACATTCACCTAACACATACAAAGGACTCAGTCCTCCCTACAGGTGAAATCTTGGCCCTACTGACATCAGAGGGAAGGCTGGCACTAATTTCACAGCAGCCAAGTATCAAGCCCAGAGTTTGGGGTGAAGGAAGCAGAAGGCTGGACCCAGCGATCCCGAGCACCCCACAATCCTGCCCTGCACTGGGCTCTGAGAAGTGCTGGTCCTCAGGAGGACAAGAGGGATGGGGGCAAACACTCAAGATTGCTGCCACAGCTCAGTGAGGGGAAGCCTGCGCAGAAGCTCAGAGGTTCAGTGACGAGCCTCATACCTCATGAGAGCGCTGGCAAGCAGACTATGGGTGGAGAGATGCGGAGCCCAGGAGGACCAGGTAGGTGGTCTTCTTTCTCATGGCAGAAGTGGGAAATAAAAAAAAACCCTGCTGCTGAATGGAGCTCCAAAGGAGCAGTAAATGCTGCTCCCCACAGCCCCAGAAAAAATCTAAGGTTTCAGAAAAGGTGGTACTGAGACAAATCCCCCACATCTTCTGGCAGATCCTGGCTCTTAAGATTTGCCTGGCGCAACCAGTTGACAACCAGCCAGTCTGGCAAACGCAGCTGATGGGGATGACACACCGGGTGTCTCACCCCAGCACAGCTAGGTGTAGCTCCGTGCGGTCTCCCAGATGGTCTTCAATGGCATGAGGAAACCTGGAGGGGCAGTGGAGGAAGGCTGCAGAGCACAGGGAGCTCAGCTGACCGCGTTCAACAAACTGAACTGGACCGAGAAGGGGACACGTGTCCCAAGCACCAGCAGGGAGTGCAACGGGAGCTTTGGAGCTGGGCAAAGCAAGGCTTGGTCAGGGTTGGTGAAACACTGGCAATTCTTCTAATGGCAAAAACAGCTTTTGCAAAAACCAGAATTTTTGAGGGGAAACTTTCACTTTTCAGTAGCTGAATTTTCCCATTCACTATAGGAAAACCAAAAGAATTTCACTGTGGTGGCCTGCTTCATGGGCCTTTTGACCTGACTCCTTCGCATCGTCTCCGCTAGGCTGGGCCCTCTGGAAGACCACCTTTCCTCGGTACATGCTGTGCTGTATTATGTGAATCCCAGGAACGTTGACACATACATCGTGGGCAATACAGATCCAGCAGCGACCTGGCTGCATGAGCCAGATGCCAGCAGTGGGTCGGGAAGTCTTGGGAAGAGCTGAAAGGCAGTCTCAGAAACAACACACGCGTCCAAGCAAAAGGAATGAAGACCCACACGTGCGTGGGGTCCGTACTAAGCTGGAAGAGCTACGTACTCTTCCCAAAAGAAGGAAGAGCTGCGAATGCGACTGTGTTACCGGTTTGTGGACGATGGGCAGGAGCCCTCAGCAAGCTCTGCAGACACAGCTCTTCCCCAGCCTGCTGCTCTCTGCCAGCAAACATCACTTCTGCCATAGCTGAGATTAGTCAGCCAGCCTGTTTGTTTTCACGGGGAAGCCTTGCTCAGCCAGCGAGTGGGCTTGTAATAACGTTGCTTAACCTGGTTCCACGGAAAAGAGGTGACGTTGAGTTATCCTCTATGTCAGGGTAAGCCACTGTGTCTGGGTAAGTCTTCCCTGGCACCTCCACGTCCACGTTTGAAAACAAGAAGAGGTGTGATGAGGCAAAACTCTGCGGGACCTTGCATGGGAATGTCCTGTAGGGAGAATAACAATTGCCCAGCGGCACTCAGAGTGGACAGAGCAGGCTTACCACGGGATCACAGCTCCTCCTGGCCAGCCAACGCAGTGGCATCACCAACGTCCCACAGACATATCAAGAGCAACGGGAGCTCTTTGTAGTTGAACTCAAATTTTGAGGTGAGTGTGGGTTTTTTTTATGCCATAATCAGGACAAAACCATATTAAAATAAGTAAAGAAGCATGTGAAATACAAGCGTAGGTGGACACAGTCCATTATTCTCTTCTTTACAACACTCTGCAATGGGTGATTTGAAAGAAGATGGTTAATTGGTGATGCTCTGCTCCGAAGAGGCACAAGTCTTGGTGCTGAGGGGAGCTTCACCACTCCAGTAGCTTCTAGCAAGGGCCTAAATGTCTCAATGACAAGCAGAAGTACGGCTGGTGGGTTTCTTGAAGAGAAATATTGTTAATAATTTTCAGCCATAGCCTTGCACCTCTCCACGAATTTAATTCAGCAGCTACAGCCCTCTCACCAGGCCCGAGACTGCACAGAGACACACCAGCTGCAAGCCAACCTGTCAGACATGCATGGATGGGGATGGTCTTCCTGGGGTCAGCCATGCGTGGGGAGCAGAAGCTGCATGCCAAATTCACTGCCTGCTGGAGCAAAGACCTCGATGGAACTGGTGAGAAACCTGCTGCAGGTCTGACAATGCTCCCACCAAGCCTACTTGTACCACTTGGGTATCTGTGAGTGAAGTACACGCTACAGCCTTCCCCCACCCCATCCTTACCTCAGGGGACATCCACAACCATTCCTCCTAGCCCTGCCTCTCTTCAAGAAGGTGACAACTCACTACCGCTAACGGTATTTACTGGATCTTTGCCTTTCTGAGGAGGTCAGCCCTTGCGCTGCAAGGAGCAGAGCAGGTGAGAGGAGCACCATGGTGGAGGGGGACGTGGAGGACAGGATTCGAGACTGACAGCCGCACTGCCAACCGCTCAGTTGTGTTCCCAGGCTGCTGCTCTGAACAGCAAGCCGCTCCAGAGCCCCAGCTCCAGGGACTGCACAGCTGGCCAAAGATGGAAGGCTATCGGCATGGGGTGGTCCTTCTGCTGAAGAAGCTCATGATGACACCCCAGTGTGGAGGTTTCTGTGCAATACTAGGGGGGTGGCAGGTCAGGATCTGTCCCATGCCATGTTCAGGACAGGACCTCCATTTCAGGCCCCTGTAGAAAGGCTTCATCCCGATGATTTCTCAAAAACTAAGATCCTCGTCATCCTCCTCACTGAAACTGCTAAAAATTAATTGTTCAAGTTATATTGTTAAAGGTTATTTGTCATTTAAACCCTCACAGTATCTAAGAGCCCCCAGGCACTGCACCCCAGCCAAAACCTACAAGCTGTCTTGGAGCATCTCAGCATCACTGTCCTCTAGACCACGTTACACAGCAGCGGGCTGAGAGCTGCTACCTGTGCTCATGAGAATAACCGGGATGGGCATGTGACTACGTGAGCACAGACAGACTGCGGCACCACTGCAGTCATCCCCCTAGTCCCGTCTGTTACCTGCTTGGGATCCCTGCTCATAAAGAGACAAAAAGCTGGGCCACAGCTATTCCTGGTAGGACTCCATTGACATGGGAGGTGGTACCAGACCGGCATCTTTCCCCTGTTCTTTCATCCAGAAGACTCTGGAAGGCAGTGCAGGAGGCTGCAAAACACTGCTCTCTACTTCACATCCCCACACTGGCGTTTGTCTTTGCGGGAAGAAACATTTCAAGCATTGCAAACAGAAACGGTAAAGACAGTGCAACTGGAGAAGAACAGCAGTCAGCTCACTGCAGGTAGCCTCTCAAAAGAAAATACCTCTGGGCCAAATTCAAACCTGGTGTAACACAGAAGTCAATCTTCCAGCAACAGGGGGATTAGCCCCGACTCGCACTAGCTTTGACTTTGCTGCTCGATGTTTATATCACTAGAGACCAAAGAATATACTTGCCAGACAAGAATAGGAATCATTAAGTCTGTGGTCCAAAGTGAGGCGCTGAACCATCTCAAAGAGTGAAGCGTGGTCAAAGTTACAGGGATTGGAAGAGATAAATTCATCCATGCCATGCTTTTGAGCTCTATCTGCATCTGTTCATTTATACATATAGAGAAAGACACCATTTAGAGAGATATAAGACATTTTAGTTGACAAATACAACAGAAAAAAAATATACAGTATGAAGCATGAAAGCTAAATATCTCCTCTTCCCTACATCGCCATTAACTTTTCTCTTTGCAGGCTATACAGTACACTTTCACCTCCCATTGTCAACTTGCATCAGTTATGGACTATCTTATTGCATTTAGGCAAAAGATTTTAGAATTAACATCTTGTCAACTGCTCATTATAGTACATTTATTCTGTACTTAAAAGTAGAACGCAAACCCAAGAACTTACTCTGTTATGCTATGAGTTAACAGAATTTTGGCTCACGGAAGTAAATTAGCTCCTATTTAGATAGTTGCGGTTAATTATAATAGATTCTGCCATTCTAATCAAGTTACAGCTGTACCATTTTTCTCTACATTTACTAGGTTTTCTAGGTAGCAGACCAGTTACGTTGTTCTTTATCCAAATGCCAATGTTTGTCTCCCCACGGCAATTTTTTTCCTAATTGCAACTTTAAATGCTACCTCACCAAAATAAAAAGATGCTCTTTTAAGCATCGCTAAGAAGTTAAATTGATATGTAGTTTGTTGTCACTGAGGCAGTAACCCGATAGTGTGGCAGAGCTGCCAGTCATCCTGACGGAGGGACTGCATTTCCCCCGCCTGGATTACGAGCTGCCATTTTTGGGTGAATTAACAGCCTTAACGTATTCACACTTCTCTGCTTTGGGTGACGTTTACAGGCACTAACTCCTAGGGGCTAATTAATTAATCTCAACATGGTTAACCAAAAATACACCGATTTCAGCAGTTGAAATGAAGCCGCCAAGCTGGCCTGGGTGCGGCCAGCCGGGACCCCGCTGGGAGCCCGCTTTGTTCTACCAGCGGCCGGGGAATTAAAGGACACCTTTCACTCGGTTTTGTCCGTGCTCAGCTTCCTACTAGATGGGTTCTTGCCAAATCTTCAACAAAGAGAATAGGATTTAAATCCTTCCCCTGTTTATAGCCTCCTAGGGGAACTGGGTGGCCTTGGAACAATGTGGCTGAAAGGACACAAAAATGCAGTTTTCCGCAATAGCAGTATATGGTAACTGTATTTGTTTTAAAACAAAATCCCTCTTTACCAGAAGAAACAAAAAAAAAATCTTAATTTAATAAAATAAAAAAAAGCAAACATAAAAAGAGCTTTAAATGATAATGAGACAGTGTTCTTTTATGTATGTTTTGCTATCTAATATTAAGCTGTGAAGGACGGCATGTCTTCCTAAATACCTCGTTCATGTCTGTGCTCTCAGATATTACTGATCATTGAAAGCAATCTTTACATTTTCTGTATAGTCTGTCGTTAGCCATACACAAACTATATAAATAACATCACCCACTGGAAAGAAATCAGACAAATTAAAACATGTAACATTTCAATTAACTGCTAGCAATACTTAATTCAGCAGTCGCTGGCCATTTTCCTCGTTGAAACCCTGCTGAATAAACAATGATTTTTATTTTTTTTTTCTACAGCTGGTTAATTTTAGAGGGTCCGCTCCCCTGTTTCACCCCATGCGCTGGGTCCTGCTGCTCTCCCCCTCTCCCCGCATCCCTCCCCGGTCCCAAATCCCCCCCTCCACCTCCGCCGGCAGCTCCGCGCATTCAGCACGGGGATGGAAGAAGCCGCCGACGGTGCTGAGCAACGTGGCAGCGTGAGGGCTGGCTCGGGATACGGGGACAAGCTCCCCACCGAGCATCACCTCCATGGCACCTCTCCAGCATCCTCGGGTGCGGGATGCGAAGCACACCCTGCCCTGGGGCTCACGGTACGGGCTGGCTCCTGTCTGCTGTGACAGCTTTCTGCCCCATCGTCTCTGTCCCTCTGGGCCAAGACCGATTTGATTGAGTCCACTCCCAAAGAGTTTGTCTACGCCGTTTTCGATTCCATCCTCAGCGCCCGCAAAATGTTTTAACAGATATTATTAGACTATTTTTTGATGGCTTGCTGCTCTGCCCGGCTCCTCGCAGTTGACTGCAAGCTGACAAATTGGCTGGAGGCCTTCATTTGCCAGCTTCACTCAGAGATTTTATTACTTTTCAATTAGGAGCCCTGATACACTGTCAATTGTCCAGCTCAGCCAAGGAGGCCCTGAGAGCTGAGTAAATCAGCTGGAAATTTGAAGAGTCCTCTAGCCCTTTAGCTGGTGAATCTTTTGGAGCAGATGTGCTAGAAAGCATGTTTGAAATGAGTATTTTTTACTCCAAACTAATAACCTTTTCCTCACTTTATGTGCTCTGAAGAAGGTGGGCAGACAGCAGACCTTTGGCTGGTGTGAACCAACTGAAGCTCTGCTGGCTTCCATGGAGCTGAGGGTCTGACCGGGGATTTTTAAGGTCTCCCTGTCCAAGGCAGGGGCACAGACAGTTCCCTGCCAAGCGTGAGAACGGACGCAGTGATTACATGGCCTTCAGGACTCTCCATAATTCCTTTCATTAATCACCTCGAAGCCACACCTTACCGCGCATCCTGTTGGGTGCCTGCTCAAAAGCCCACTTGCCCCAAATCTCCCCACCTCAGAACAACCACCAGAAGAGAGAGGCACCAGACATGGCACTGCATGAGCTCGAGCGACCAAAAAAAATCAGGAGCCGCACGACTTCTGCTCGGTCAGTGGTTTAAACTGGTTTTCTGCCGTGGGCAGGAAGATGAGCGCCGCAGCTCTCCCCGCAGCAGCGCAGTGCCGCGGTTCTGCACAGGCAAACCATTTCACCTCAGCAGCGTGCGGGGTGGGTGGGTGCACATCGCCCACCCAGGGGATAAAGGTGGCGTGGTGTGAACTGGAGATGTCTTTGGAGAATGGTAATACGTACATGTATTTCTCTTAAACAGAATATCTGCTCTGGGCCAGATGCTTAAAATTCTTAAGAATAACCAGGAGCAGGTTAAAAAGGACAATCCTACACTAAACTCGCCTTCCCTTAATTAATCGCTAGAAAATAAACACGGCACGCAACTTGCCATTTAGTTTTACATTTTTGTTTTTCCAATGGACTTGCTTTTAAAAATGAAATTTAGGAGTCAAATTATACCGAAAGCATTAAACTTCCTAGGCAATACAAAAAATACAAAAAGAAAAGGATAGATCTAAATATATTGTTCCTCCGCTCCAGACAGCTGATCTGAGATTAAAAATAATGCTGACATCTGCATACGAAGTAAGTTTTATATATAACCTATCCTCTTTCAAAACGGCTTGTACAGTTTGAAGGAGGTTTTAAACAAAGTATAAAATGAGAATGGCTAGTACGCACAGCCAAACTGTACAGCTAATTTGCAAGTACTTTAAATGAATTGCTTCAGTCAAATACGGTTGCTTTTTTGACCCTGCTCTGTTATTCTAGCTAAAAAGAAAGGAGAAACCAAAGAAAGTAAGTTATACGATGCTCCAGTAATTTACAATCCCTTCCCAAGGTACCGTGCCAAACTTGCTGGTGCTTCTTTGTTCGGGGCCCCAGCCAAAATGCTGCTGCAGGCCCACAAAAGTTATCTTCCATATTTAGACAAGCTGCAGCCAACTGCAGCTGAAAGGTGTTCGCTGGTGGTCTCGGAAGGGAGGCTGCCAGCGGAGGTAAATTGGCAGCACAGACGCCATGAACCTTTCTTCTGGAAAACTGCAGACTCTGGCCTTTCATATTACACTCGGTCACCTACATTACACTCTTTTTTTTTTTTAATTTTTCTTTTTTTTTAATGCTGCCAGGTTTATTTTGTTCCATTTTGACTCAGTTTGCATTTTATACTGACTCCATTAACTAGCCTCTTGTCAGACACATACTCCCCACAAGTGTTTGAAATCAGAGTCTTAAAAATCTGCCAGCGTCAGGAACACAAAGATTTCAACAACAACAACAACAATAATGAAAACCAAAGGACTGTCCCACCATTTGGTCCTCTGAGGGCTGTTTTTCTCTTTATCTAACTGTTATTTAAAAAGGAAGAGACAAAATAGTCAAATCTCTCATTCTCTTCTTTTTTTTTTTTTGAAATCTATTTCCCTGCCCTCTGCATTTCTTTTGCTCCAGCAATAATTTTGGCAGATTTTGCTCTGAGAACGGTGAAGTTAATAGCGGGGGACAAGCTCCATAAAAGAATTCTTGTTATAAAAGGCTTTAGGTAGCCATTTTATTGTAAGAATTTCTTACTCCGGATTTATTTCTTTTCGTTAATGAGTGACTTTGTTTTAGTACCAAAGGCAACTGAACATCCAGTAAATTTTACGACACGTTTGCTTATTAAAAAAAAACACAACAGAACCAACAAACAAAAAAACCAAACAACTGTAAATTAAAAGGTGACTTTGTATCTTACTCATCTGGAAAATGTGTGCTTGTCATATCTGCTTGACATTACAAGAATGAAGATGTGGTTTGGACAGTAACAAACAATGACACTAGTCAACCTCATCAGGAGACATGAAATAAAGGAATGACAATGATTGATGGCAGCTATTCATTTACAGATATTTCTAGAAAACTCTTCGCTGGCCTGGCCGGGCAAAGCGGGAGAAGTTTTCCAGCACGGGTGATACCCGCAATGCGCGGCGGGCGGGTGATGGCGTGCCCACCGCGACCTGCCGCGCGCTCGGAGGGACAGCCGCGTCCCCTCCCGCTCTCCTTGTTTGAGCGGAGCCAACGGAGATGCTTTTGGGAAAGAAATACCCAGGGGAAGCGCCTAGAAACCTCGGTTTGTTCGGCCGTGTGGAGCAAGAGGCTTTACTAGCAAATACCGGAGTTCCAGGGTGGAGGGGAGGGGGGGGAACCATACTGGGACTTAAAATGCCAGGCTGTTTTTGTGAGCGAGCTGCTGGCAGTGCCGGCTGGTGACTTACCAAGTCCCCTCCTCGCCGTGCACTAGGGCATTGCCACCTCTGAAAAGTGATGTACGTGTGTGTGTGTGTGTGTGTGTGTGTGTCCGGGGCACTGCAAACCTTCTC